TACGTTAAGTCTGTGGATTGGTCCAAATCGACCAATCCACAGACTTCCTCACACACACTCAATCTTTTCTCAGCTGCAGCTCCGCCGAGACGGTGGGACGCAGCGAGGCTGTGAGTCGGTGTGTGAGCACACACACAAAACTCCCAGCCAGGCTGCGGGTGTGTGTGTGTACTCGGGCTGGTTTCGGGCTGGGTTTCGCTGTATCTCGCTGTCTCGCAGACGGCCACTGGGCTCATAGGGAGGGGGGGGGCAGGAGGTCCAACAAGCCGTTTAGGGCAGAGAGTGAATACACATACTATACAGAGATGCCCAGAGAAACCAATGTGATTTTGGAAAAGTGCACAAATCTATAAATCAATTTTAGTATACCTCAACAATGGAATTATGATCAGTAGAAATGGTAGAAACACCCCTAAATGGCTCCTACAGGCCCTTTAAGACATTACAGTAAGGTTGGGAAAGCTATCAGTTTCCCAATTTTCCAGTTACTCGATCCTTAAATATTATATTGACTACTACGATCAATTCTTAGTTTTTGTTCATGGCAATAATGTATTTTTTTTTTCTTGTTTATAGAAACAGCAATAAAGATATTTATTCAATGTAATTGTACTTTTCTAGTGCCAACATATTTACATCTTTAAGATGTAATAAGACTTTATGCAAAATGTCACACCTTGCTAATATTTATTATTCACTTTTTTCCTTAGAATCTAGGGATTATTTAAGGGATCTAATATTTTTGTTCACAAGTACAGCAATACATTTTGAAAGAAAAGAAATACTACATTTTATTAATGGATGAATTAAGCAAGTAAAAACTAATTTGATTGTCACTGTTTGAAAATGCAATTATTCTCTGGATACAGCTTCTCGCATGTGAGGAATTGCTGCTTTTCTGTGTTTTATATTCCTGGAAATGTAATTCCCTTGGTTGTGGGCAGATGGTTGGAATTCTAGATAATTGTAAGTTGCAGCCCTTAACAGGGCGAATCATTTTCGTGTTAACCGGAAATCCTCGTGACACTCTCTGCCAAGTGTCTCACTCATTAGCTCTTCATCATCCTAGGTCAATATACCAATGCACATGAGCAAACATTAGAATAGGTGCTGTGTTCTCTGCATCCTTTACTGCATGGACACGTGCACATGAGCATTTCACATCTCCCCTTCCTCACATCGACCTGCCACATCCACTTTCCTCTGCAACAGAGGAGAATCATTGAGGTGAAGGAAATTGGGTCTCTGAAGAAACCCATATTAGACTGGCTGCAGGTTAGTGATGGAGGCAGGACATTAAGTGGAAAATAGAGGAGAGGAGATGTCATGCCGGCACATCGAGAGAGTAGAGAGGCCCGAGGGGACTTGATATGACACACCAGTGGCCCCAGACAAGGGATTTAGTGGCGTGTTGGGCTTTTGTGCCACATTATTATCAGCCAGTGATCCACCAGGCACATGGGCAGCTCTCGATCCCTTCAGAAGGGAGCCGTCTATCCCCCTCCAGTCTCCCTCCCCATGCTGTTCCCACTATTCAGACAGAGGCTTATTGAAATGCTACGGGGGGAAATTCTGCTTCACTTACACATGAAAAAAACCTTGAGAATGACAGAAAAGTAGAGGTATAATGCTTAAAAGAAGAAGCACACTACTTTGTGTCTTTTCAAACTTGTATGTGGGCAATCAGATGCTAAGGGGCGCCTTATATCCTGTGAATCAGCTGACACAGAAAGACAAGTATTGCGTCCTTTGATAGGTTCATCCTCACAGGACAAGCTTACCTGCCTTAAGTGTCAATTGTGTGAGGGGATTTTGTCTGCCTGAAGATAAGCGTGCAAGCTAAGACTGCAAACAGGATGCTTTTTGCCATCAGGCTAGACTTAACTTGTCGATCAGCTTTACCATCGACAGAGGAAGCAGGTATTAAGAGCCTTGGCGCCAATCATGGAAATTTGTATTGGAAAGATAAACGTCAAAAGGTGGCTGTCGACGCAGGATCACATGCTGACGTCATCAGAACCCAAAGTGTCCCAGATAAGGTTATTTTGGCAACACATGCAGGCACAGATCGGCATTGATGTCGGATGTTTCCACAGCACATCCGAGAAGAGCGACAAGGAGTGGAGCGGCACGTGGTGGGCAAGACTGGGGAGTGTGCAGCGGGGAGAGCTGACGGACAGGCCGCTGATGGATTAGGTGGTAAGCCTGGCAGAGGGCTGCCCTTTCTAGATGGAAGCCTGCCTGATGCAGTGTGGTGATTAAAAAATAAAACTGAACAGTGGGGAGTGGGCTCAGGCTTTCATAAAAGCAGCCAAAAGATATGTAATAGAACAGAGAATAATATTTCACTAGAGAACCATAAGGCTGGAGATACAGGTGTGTGTACAGCAGCAAAGGTGGTAAACCTGGCACTGAACACGACTTGATCGAATCCTACATTCAAGACATATGCTTGCGAAGACAATATGATAGTCTCTTCACTAAAGCGGGAAGGGTGATAGCGTACGCTTAGTGCCATGGAGCGGAGTGAAAAACAGCAAGTCGTTTGCTCTTTGTTGCCTAAAAGGTGGTGTGTGGTAGGTGGGGGTTGGGAGTGGCAGCAATAGCTGCTGCATTATTCATGTGTTTGCTCTTGTGACTGCAGCAGCCACATTGGTCAACAGTTTCCTATGGAATTTATATTAGTATTTAATTATTTAGATCTCTCCCAGTTCCTTCTGTGGCATATCATTATTTCTGGTGTACATGACGACAAATTGCTTTCTAATTACCAGCACATTTTAAAACTACAGAAGAAAAAAAAAAAAAATTACAACTAAACAACGGTTTATAACAAGCGTGAGATTAACCCTGCTTACGCAATTTTCGTTTTTTAAAAACTCAATTTAACTTTACAGAAATTGGTTTGCTGACATACTACTGCCCTATTTTTATCATTTAATTTGTGTAAAACCACTGCACTATAGTCAGTTTTAATGATCACATTCATCATCATTGATCATTATTAACTGTCTGCCCTGCAGTCAGAAATCAGAAAGGCAATCTTTAAGACCAAGATCTGTCACATTAAATGTTCTACTGTATTCTCCATTATTGGAAGTAATACAAATGGTGACATCAAGGCTAACTGTTTTTAATACGGATATGCAGGTATGCTCAATACCACAATTGGGCACATAATAATAAATTGAAAAAAACGTATTTATGAGTTATGCATAATCTGACTTAAAGACAACTGATTGATTGTATGGAGTCAATCAAAGATACCGCCATAAGATCCAGATGATTTAAGAAAAGCAGTACATTTGCGTTTGTAAGTCACAAATGATTCAATGATGCTTTACATTATGGATATGGATGAGGTGCCCATTATGTTTTACACCACAAAATAAGGGAATCACATGTTGGTCTTTGTTATGTGTTCTTCTGCAGACAGTTCTTCATGGTCACAAATACTGCATTTTTTATTTGAATCCCATGTCTCTTTAAAAAGGCATTTCCACAGTCATGACTTTTTGGAAGAAGGACATAGTTTAGTAATACTTCCTGTATGAACACATACTCAACTGTTCCATACAATGCAGTTCAGTTACTGCATTAGACGTGAGTGAGATGGTACAATTTATCAAGGAAACAACAACTTATCTACAACATAAAATACAAATTGGAGGAAGTTAATTTTAATTCACTTTAAAACATCCAGACTGCTTGCTTTAGCAGCCAAATAAAAATATACTCAACAGCAATAACTCAGATTGAGATACAAGCCTGGGCCTACATCTATAAATCAAACCCGAGCAATCCCAAATCAAACCACGACAGCTTCACTACGTTTAGTGTGAGGAGAAACCCAAACCGCACCATAGATCATAACAAAACGATATGTTATTGATCACTGGAGATCCATTCTGCTGGAGGTCAGAGGTCAGGGTAGGCGACAAACAAGACATGGGAGGAATTTAAAAGGGAAGAAGCCCTCTAGGACTGTCCATCTGCAGCCAGTAATAAACCTGTATATGCCAAGCCATGGGTGCTCTTCTCCTGGATAAACAAAAAGACCTTGCCACCCAAAGCTATTAAGCAACATTTAGAGCCCTAACATAAACAAATCCCTATCAAATCACTTAGATAATGTGGATGTATCTGTATCCTCCTTCCTTGGCAAACCCCACTGAGATTTAGTGGAAAGTTACTGGTGCATTGAAGAAGTGGGGGTCCCAGCAGAATCACAATGGCTGTATTATTAGTCCCACACTACTGTAGATGTCTGTGCTGGACACTTGTTATTGCGCTGTAGGACCTGTGTCTACTGACATGAAGCATTAACATTGCAGTATTCCTGGTTCTACTTGCTGAGATATTAAACTGTTTATTTGTATTTCTGATCTAAAGTATATTACATTTTTATACTGCTGTTTGTTATGTGTATGCCTCTTTACAGTGTCGATACTGTCAGATGTATATATGTATATTATACTAAGCATAACACTGTACTTTACTAATTATTTGATTAGATGCTAACTGCATTTCGTTGTTTACGCAATGTCACTCTTTGCAATAACATTAAAGTTGAATCTAATCTAATGTAATCTAATCTGATATTGGTACTTTAGTGGAGGGCAGGACAGGCTGGTGAGGGACTCCCAGTCTGGATGGGTGCACGGTGTGCTGGGTCAGGTGCACCCTACATTCAGTTTCATGCACACGACAGACACCCATTGTATAAATAACTTATCTGGGAAAACCCATATTAAAGCTGCAGATATGGAAATTACATTAGACTTTTAAAATACATTAAAATATGTTATTTTCCTCAGAAAACTCTCAAGGCCCCGGGGTTTCCTTGACCCCTTGTTGGTTAATCACAGCTTTAGCTAGCAAGTTACGGTCCTATACTTCCAGACAGCTACCGGCTAGCCTTCTTTAGGTTTCGAAAAAAATAGCCTGGTTTCCCAAGATTCCCGCAACACACTCAATGGAGTGAAATCGTCTTTACATACCCTCGGCTCGGCTGCGAAGGTCCGACATGGTTCTCCGGACGGGCGGCATCTCTCTCCACGCAGAGCCGGGCGAGGGCACCTGTCAGGCGGCCGCGGCTCGTTCCCTGTGTCTGGCTCCTTTTAACCGTCAAATAATAAATAAAAAAAACGGCTACAAATGTAAGGAACCTCTCTCATGCGGACAGTACTGCTGCGTGTTACCCACTAATGAGAGGCACAGGCGAGGTATAAACAACATTCATTTCCTGGTGGTGACAGAAGCATGCCCCGGATCCCACGGATTCACGGAACCCCCAGCATCCCGGTTCACACGGAGGATTGTAGGGCCGATAGACGCCTTCGGTATGGCAGGAGTGGACACAGATTTACCATAAACAGACGTGAGGGGGACGGTGCCGCTTCACATTATGGACCGTACCACATTCAACCGCAGCGGGAGGGGGGTGCTTAAACATAATAACTCTCATTTCACTGCGGTTAGTAAATATATAAATCATGAAATCTTATTTAAAGGAGGATACAATAAACACATACTTCAAGATGTTATTGGATGGGCTGAAAATGTTTTAAACACCAATCAATTTTACAAATTGGATAACAAAGTATTCTTTAAAGTGGGCGCCTCCCCCCTCTGCAGTAGATGTTGTTCACAGCTTGAAGACACAACAATTGTACCCTGGGTGGAAGTTGGCTTATCACAATTAAGTCTTATTCTCTTTTAAAATATAGTTATTAAGGTATGAATAGTTAGTGCACAGTAAGCAAATGACAAACCCTGAAGAACTAACATGTTTAATACGATTTAATACGATGCTCAAACATTAAAGTAAAGTAACAAATTAGAAAAACAGGTAGCCTATACTCTATTTTGCCTTACATTGACATTTCTTTGTATTTGGTGATTTCTTAATCAGTTTTATTAAAAACGTATAATGTTGCATTTCATTAGGATGATATCTCTTAGTTTATAAATACATTGTGAACATCACTTTATCCCAAATCATAGTTGAAACATAACTTGTAATATGTGAATATTTTAGATCTCCAAAAAAATATATATATATGATATTAGGACATTTTGTAGTCTAGTCTTTGTCTGACAATATATTCGAGAATAACCTGGCTGTAAATGGTGAGCTAAAGAAATGTCCAGTAACCACACTTTGAGCACTGGGCTTCTTTAAGATGTTGTTCGGTTTTATCTACATGGACATTTGGTTGTAGGCCATGTGGCTGTATACTCCATCATCATTTGCACCTGCAACTCCAGATGGTCTGATAACATTCAAGGATGATTCTGAATGTCTAATATGGCAGAAGTAATACACACCTTTCATTAAGCACCCATTTTATGTCACCAACAGATAGACTAATGATTTAAAGATTAGTCCTTTCCTGTAGGAAAAACTAAACTCATAAACAATCACAAATAAAATCCTGGACAGTTAGGATAACAACAATGGAAGCAAGCAGATGTAAGAAGACATTTATGTCATTCACTGTTTTATCATGTGATTATGTTCTCAAAACAAGCTTAGCAGAAGATCAAATCCATGGGGTCTAATTCTATTTTACAGTTTTCTTTATATCCCTCATCTGCACATCACTCTCCCGTCATAAATCTGCTCTAATGTGGACCCCTCGACATGTTTTCCAAAAATATGACTCGTAAAAAAACATTATGCATGCAAGTACAAAGGAGAAAGCAGAAACAATGTCGTCTCTGCTGCTGCCAGGCACTACAGTAAATCAAAGTGTGTTCTCATTCTCACTGCAGTTGAAATGCAAATCACACCAGTCACAGCATTTGTACAGCAGCAGCACCACTGGAGTTGCCTGGGAGAACTGCAATGTTACAGACACTACAGTCTGCTGCGTATGTGGCTCTGCCTACATAATGCTGGCTTTCCTGCTTATGTGCATGCGTTGAGTGATTCCCTAGTTATTTCTGCCAAACTCGCTGCATATTTTCAAACCATATGACAGTCTTCGTTAGTAGCTTTAGACCCATCCTTACCTTTAAGAGTAAATGTATTTACTGTTTTAGGGATTAAGAAAACAAGATTATGCTTCTTTGTGTCTGAACAGAGATGCTCGAAGGCATATGTGTGTTTTTTTAACAAAGGTATCTTAAGAGTTAGGTTTGTCCATATTATAATAAACATGTTTTTCCTGTTTTTAAATTCCTAAATGGAACTGTAAGTCTTAGTCTTAATAGCCAAATAAAACAAAAGCAGAGGATGCGATTGTGTTACATAGGAACTCAACATTCACCACATCCAAAAAAAAGAAATGAACACCTGAACATCCACGCCTCCTCCTGCGCCTGCTAGAGACACATCTCTCCCAAAGATTTTCTTTCTTTCCCCCACTCCTCCTAATTCAACATCAGCTTGCCACCACGGGGATTTGGCTCGGGTAGCTCCCACGGTTGCTAAGCAACAGTGACAAGAAGCCTGCCTCTTCGGCTGGGTGTGCTGGTTTTTGTGTTCACAGCAGATCCAGTCCAAACAATGACTCATTCAACCAACAATTTCCACCTTTGTCAAAATGTGTGTCAATTTCAAACCGCATAAGTCTTTTTATCAGTTTATATATTGGTATCCTTATCAGAGTGAACCACTTTAAAAAAAAAATGATATTGCCTTTGAACACCATTGTTCCCCGATAAGGTATTACAGTCTAAATAAACATGTTGGCAGCCTGTGATTACAATGCATAAAAGATCAAGGACCTTATAATCAAGTCCATTAAAAAAAACGTTTGTCTCGGCTCAAAATGTGCTAAAAACTGCATTTTATCTTTCCCAGTATTATTCCAGATGAGTATGTGGGGTTTTCTAAACTCAGCTTTTGGCCTTCAATCAAGCTTAAACAATACAAACTTTAAGAATAGAGTGTCTTGAGTGCAGAGTAGTGCTGATCCAACCGATCAATGGCAGTCACTCAAATAAACTACATTTATAAGATTTGTCTTGAGCCATGGCTCCATTGCTTCCAGGTTGACAGTTGGCAAATCCATCCCTTAGGTCCAAATAGAGACATTGCAATACTTTTGTAAGGATTGTCTTAATATTGTGTAAACATCCATTTATTCCACATAATGAATCCCTGATTCTCTATCAAATGGCACATTTGGCACAAAAACTGTTGGATGGAATGCCATGATATCTGCATACATTGTAATTAATTTGTAGCAAAGAGGAAAAAACATGGTGTGAGATCTATCTGCACATTTCTTTGTGATTTCATATTTTAGAAAGTCTCACTCGTAACTTTAATAATTTTGAGCTGCTTGATAAAATAGTGATCATGATCCTTGAATCTCCTCTCATCCAAAATGCGTCTCATCCAACCAACCTTTAAATCCTTCTGTTTACCTTCTCTTCATCAAATAATGATGAGTCTGCAGTGTCTGACCTTCAGAGATAGAAAACCAAAGTGTGGTTGAATAACCAGCCGATAAATAATGTTTTTCACAGGTGTCTGTCTGGGAAACATCTTTGAAACTTTAGAGTATAACACTGTAATTGTGTTTCATACGATGCTTTCAGTATAATAAATGTAGAATTTATAAACTGTCTCTAAATTAAATACAATTATATTCTTCCATAAACAATACAATTTTATAAAAGGGTTATTATTTACTGAAGTACAGTCAATACAAAAATGTCGCAATAATAGAATAGACTATAAACCATCCTAAATAAAGGAAATGGAAGGGAATGTTGTAAAAGTTAATTATAAAGGATAAATAACTTATTCCTTTCCCATGGTACTGAAAATGGCAATTGTAAAATCTCTCCCAAATGTATCCTTGATGCTACAGGGCTTAACAACTTTGAAAACACATTGTTTATCATGGACATTAGTTTGGCTTGTATTCTCACCACAGCTTTGAAATATCACTTGAGCAAAAACATTAAGATGGACTGAAACCATTTCTTATTTGTTGTGTTGTTAGACTCAAGAATGGCTTTCATATTCTCAAAACGATGAGAAATAGTGGTCACCAAACCTGTGGCTGTAAACAATATGTACTCCAGTTTTTTAATAGCTTTTCAGGATACATTTAATCTCCCTCTTGGGTTAGATAATTGTGTTATTTGTATCATAAATCATTCCCCCAGCTCTAAAGACTGATCAAACGTATAGCTGGAGGATGCAGCCACCCGGTCTGCAGCTGCATCTTTCATTCCTTGCCTTCAGCTCCAGAGAGAAGGATAGGGCAGCGTGACATTTTGCTGTAATTGAATTGCACTCTGCCCCCTTGTGGACGTTGATCTGCAGTCAGGGAGGCTGAGCTGGTTGATGTAGCCAACTAAAGAACAAATGCACTGCAGAGTCATTTTACCTAAACCCCAATCTCATACGCTGATTAATGTGTGCAGATCTTGTCAAACCTGCTCAAAAAGAAATGTTGTGCTCTATAGGTAAGAGTTGCATTAAAATAGTATTTTATATACAATTTTCTCTCAGTCCCTAGCTGTGAAGATCAGATTGTGTCTTATTAAAGCCATATTTACAAATGTACTGCAAATCAGTCAAATTATAAAGTTAACATACCAATCATGCTGGCAATATGTGAATACATCTGTTCATTCGATCTGCACAAAATTAAAACCATTCATCACCCTGCTCTGTTTGACTTCTTCCACTCAGTCACAGTTGAGGCAGTGAACAGCAGTGAAATTAAAAAGTGTTAAAGTATTAATCTTTTCAAATTGCTTTTTTAATAGCAGTCGAGGTGGCTGGCGAGGTTACATTAGCACTACTGATGAGTAAGGCAGAGAGATAAGCTCTGCAGGTTGAATGTACTATCACCAGCTCAGTGGGCTCTTGTATAAATGTGCTAAAGTGAGATAAAATGGCTGCTTGACTCAACGTGGTGTGGGTGTTTTCAACTGAACTCTAGATAAGCATATCCCGTCCTATCTTCATAGGAGACTAAACAACATTGTGAGCATGTTGTTTTCGTTATCCTAATTCATCTACTGGTATTTCACTGTAGTTGTACTGTATCCATGTGACTGTATCTGGAAAAGGTTTTTAAATTCAACCGAAAGTTATAGTGTATGGGAAACGGATGATTGAGAAACCGGTCCTCCATGATATTTGAATTAAAACTAATTAAAATGAAAATGATATGCAAAGACCTTGACTGATTTATTCCAATTGTAAGAGCAGTATACTGGCAGGCAGAGAAACATAAGCAGCTTTATCCAGGCACCGACTGCCAAATTCAAAATGTAGAATCTGTAATCCATCCAGCACTGTGTAATATAATATAATATAATATAAAACTTTATGCAGCATCAGTATTTAGTATCTTTAATTCTGAGCATTTTCATCCACAGAAGATATAATTTCCCTC